CAAATACGCTTTACTCATCTGGACATATCCCGACGTTCCAGTCCCTCTGACTGTTTTAAGCCCCAAGTTGTTATACATTCTGACATTTTAAGTTACTTTTGATAGAAAACTAATTAAAATTTTTATAATAATGTTATATAGTAAATTTTATTATAAATATATAATTTGTTATATCAACCCAAAGTTTTTTAATGGTGTGTAATTATCTCATACAATTCAGTGTACATTGCCTTTGTTGTATCACAGTTATTAAGCTGGGATACAAGACTCAAAATCCACTCCTTATTTGGGCTATCGTCTTGTAGCAGTGCCTCTATAAGCCGTTTCAACTTCAAATAAGTCTTTGGCGAGTTGCTTGTGATGAGTGTCTCCACGTAATTTACTATGACTAATATCGTCGCTGAATTTGAAGCATTTCTTGCTGCTATCCTTTCCATATTCTCTGGACAAATCACGCGATTTATCTCGTCCCATGTCGCTGAACAATCTCTGTCTTCCTCCATTGTTTGATTTATTCATCTATTTATTATAAGTCTTATTTATAATTAATTATAAAAACAAATTATATATTTATAAAACTTTAAACTATAATTATAGTACCAACTTTATATAGTATAAATTATAATAAAAATAACCATATTAATAGTAACTTGAGTAAAGCTTCAAAAGAAGCCCTAATAAAAAGGCTTTTGAACTTAAAAAAGCAAATGGAATACATCGCCGCGTACGTATTATGCACAATTGGACACGACAAAGCTGAAGAAGCGAAGGTCAAAGACATTTTGACTGCCGCTGGTGCGACGGTCGACGACTCAAAAATTGCGGAGGTGTTCAAGGCTCTTGACGGTAAAAATGTTTGGGAAGTGATTGAACAAGGAAAAAGCGAGATGGGGTCGATGGCTGTTGCCGCTGCTCCATCCGCTACAACTGCAACTGAAGAAAAACACGAAGAAAAAGCTGAAGAACAAAAAGAAGAAAAAAAAGAGGAAGCCGAAGAGGACTTCGGTGGCTTTGGCGATCTCTTCTAAGCCACTTTTACCTTCTTATTTCATTGAATATAATTAATAGTACTTTACTAGTACATTAAATAATTAATTACTAATAAATCAATAGTATTTTAATAGTTTAATTTATTCAATAAAAGTATAACATATTTATTATTAATATACTATAAGAAATAAAGCCTCAAAGGCTCTCGACTGAAACTTGATATTACTAACTTGATATTACTAACTTGATAGTACAGATGCAATTGTACGACCAGATTTGGAGTGTTTTACTCAAAAGTTTGACGGGAGAAAATCCATCGATTGAGTTGATCTTACGATTGAATAGTGCGATGTCAACAGTACTGAGCACAAATATCACAGGAAGAGTGTTACAATTGTACAAACTCCTTGAAACCTCATTCACTGAATTTTTTAAAAAAGTTTTGGAACAATTTTTAAAACTGGACACGAAAAAGGTGTTACCATCATACGTTCGATTGATCCAGAAATTTGACCCATTTTTCATTGTTATGAAGCAAATTTTTTATAACTTGAATCGAGTCATCCCTTTGGTCCAAGAACAATACTTTAAACAATTTCCAACGCCTAAGGAATTGTTCTTGAGTGTGTTCCGAGCAGATTTTTATACCCCACTGAAACCACAACTTGAGGTACAAATCTCGAAGGCTGTGGGACGCCTCTCTTCACTGGACGTTCATGTGAAAGAGAAAGCGGAGAATGTCTTAAACATATACTACAAATTCTATTGGGTGATGGTGAACGTCTCTGGGTATAAGAAATATTCCTCTGAATTTAAAGAAGCGGTGAGCACATATACTGCACTTGTTGTGAGTCATTTCAAAGAACAAAAGACGTGGGCGCACGACTTGATACAATTTGTCGACAACACTTTAATCGACGACGTTCGCGAGAGAGTCGAGAAGAGTGTCTTTGGGGCATTCTTTAACGAGTCCAATGCCGATCAACATGTTGCGCTTTTTGTGAATTCATTCAAGGACGATGTTAAGATAGCGCGTGCTCTCATACGGTGTTTCACGACTTTAAATCTGCAGAGCCACTTGTTAGTGGAACTCAAAAATGTCTTTGAGAAATTGCTTCAAAAAGACGAGAAGAGTATAGTGAATACGTACTCGACAATTAAAGCGTTTATAAAGGAGAACTACCCGACCAATGATGAGATCTTTCAGTGTTTAAAAAGTGCTGCGAACGTATTGTTATCTAAAGGGTTTGGAGTGAAGGAGATTAGCATTGAAGTGATGGGGAATGAAGAGAGTGCATTAGCTTTTGAGTTATATGAATTGTGTGAAATTAAAGATCAGATGCATACCTCATTGTTGTCATATATTGGCGTCGCCTTAGTTAACGGGAAAGGCGTTCCCCAACACTTCTTATCGAAATTGAAAGGGACTTCATCGTCACAATTCATACACAGAACAGCAAAGATGCTTGAAGACTCGAAGAAGAGTGATGACCTTTCAAAGGAATTTATGAACACACAATACTATAAGTGTCTTATTTTTAAACCAGAAGTCCACGTATTGGTAGTCACACATCACGTGTGGCCTATTTCTTATGTAAATGTGTTGCCTTTGGACGCACTCCGTCCAGCAATTGTCATGTTTGTAGGCTTTTATCATAAGAAATTTGAACGCACGGTCTTACGATTCTTACACAAGTCGTCGGTGTATCAAATACAATTTGAAGGGTCGAAAGGAATATATACACTTAACCATACACAAGCAGTCGCACTCATTTTGGCCACTGAAGGAATGTTAACAAAAGAAAACATCAACTTGAAAGTCCCACAGTCCGACGGGGTCATCGACCTTCTTGTCAAACTTGGAGTCTTAGATGTCAAGCACCAAATCGTGCAGATCGATAAGGACACGAACATCTCCGGAATTAAAATACCAAAAAAGAAAGAAGAGGACGAGAAGAAAGAAATGAAAGACAACACTTTGGCTATCATGGCACATGTCGTCAAGTTACTCAAGAAGGAAAAGAAGTGCGCTAAAAAGGTTCTTATCACAGATATCCAAGCAACCGGACTCGCTACAGAAACTAAAATCATTCAACCCGTACTCGACGAACTGGTCATGAAAGACTACTTGGAGTACAAACAGAACGAGGACGTCTATGAGTATATCGCCTAAGAAGATATCATAGTCTTCTTGAATTAAAACACTCTTCAAAACTCTTATAATTGTTTTCTAGTAAAAGAACTATATAATGAACTAGTTAAAAATAGAGCACCACGTCATCGACTTGAGTCAATTAAAAACATGAGAAATGTACAGTCTTATATCATCTCAACGACTAGAATTCTGTTAATTCTGTATCTCTGATAATTTGGATATGCCCAAGGACGACAAGTAAAAGTCTCATCAGAAATGTTGTTATAGGTGTGGTCGAGATGATTGCACCAAGTCTTTTTAGTTCCGGGATTGTATATGTTACAACACGAAAATCCAAAACCATTATATCCGATACCATAGACTCCATCATTACTATCTGAATGAATACAAACGCCCCCAATCTTCCCTTCCTTTGGATAAAATCTTGTTGGTGATGTGTATGACCCTTTCGAATGGATTGAAAATAAGAAATGATTTGTACTAGAAGTGTAGTTGTCTGTGGTATTAACTGGTCTTTCTGTGAAGCATCCAAATGTGTTATTATACTCGTCGATGTTTATGAAATACAAATTGGGATGGTGCATCACTCGATTCTTAAAAGAGGTGATACAGTCATTGTCGGAATCAAAGAGAACTATTGGAGTCATCCATCCGGTCCACCGCCTAATCGCATCAACTAAATAATAGCCACACGTCTCCTCTTGTGAAGTCTCATTGGTACTTTCCATTTCTGTGGTTTTTATTAGTTTGTTTCTGATGGGTGGGATGGCATGAAAGAAATTATTTGTGTGACATTTGTCCCATTTTTAAGTCTTTTGAAATGAATGGTTCACTCTAGAATATGTGAAGTTACACGTATCCTTCCAAAATAGTTATATATATACTTGACTCTTGACGCCACCTTCTTCTATTGTACTTCTTACTATTTAGTTATAGTTGGTTTATTATTCACGTGTTCATTCTTTTGTTTTCAACAACACTTTTCAGTTGGTTCGTATGTTCTTTATCTGCCACAACTCAATCACTCTTTTTTTGTTATTAGTACTTAATAACATTTTATTACATATGTAATTAATACTATTTGATTCTATTTTTTACTATTCAAAAATTATTTTTTGGAAACACCACAATTGTTTTTTTCATCACTTTTTTATTATGTTTCTACAAAAAGACATTTTTGAGTCTTTTTTAATAATAAAGTATTAATTAAATTATACTAAACTAAAAAATGTTATTAATAACAAAATTTACAATAGTTATTAAAATGTTATTTGAAATGGTATTAAAAATGTTAATAAAAATGTTATTAAAATGTTATTAAAAATGGTATTAAAAATGTTAATAAAAACATTTAAAATGTTAATAAACTTTTCAAAGGAGTTGAGCACGTTTTCTTGCCATTGAACAGGACAACTTTGCTGAGTCAATGAGATATCCGTCGAGCTTTTCGATAGCCTTTTCAGCGATTTCTTTAGTAGCGAAATTGATGAAGCAGCAGTCTCTTCTTGCATTAGTTTCGTAGTCCAATTGGAAATAAATACGAAGAGCCAACCCCTCTTTTCCGAGTAATTTGAATAACAACGCTTTGAGGACGACCTCATCGACGGTAGGTGGGACATTAATAAGACGAATTGCAAAGTCTCTCTCGAAAGCAGTTCCATCGGCTTGTTTTCTCATGTGAATAGGAACATATGTTGATGAATCCTCTTGGCGAATAAGAGTCGGTTGATCGGGTTTACGAAGTTGTCTGTTGGGACATAAGACACTGATATGGCCTTTCTCGCCACAAATGGTACACACAACATCATCTTCAATCTTCTTCAATTCCTCATCATCAACTTCTTCTTCAGCCATCTCGGCTAAAGCTATTTGACTCGGGAAAACTAAGACAATATCTTCAACGTCAGATTGAACGTCTAATGTGGTGAATTTTTGGATCTTTTTACGGCGCTCAACATTCTCACTAACAGCATAGATCGTCTTGACTAACTTCTCGGTCGTTTCGGCATTTAATACTTCTTCACTCGTTGGAAAGAAAAAAGCTTTTTGCTTCTCAGTTAAAACCTCTATCCCTTCTTTCGGCATGTTCTCTGCTATTCCCGTTCCGCCTTGGCGGTTTTGGTGGAACGAGATGTTTCGGTTACAACTGTATTAATAATATAATATCGTTTTATTAAAAATTATAGTACTCGTTTGTTTAAGTGAAACCCTACCTATTTTTTTTGGTATTGGAATGCGAATTTATAGCTTTTTTCAATCTATAATTTTGCCATAATTAATTCAATGGTTTTTATTCAATATTTTTTATTTTAATAAACATTTTATAAAGTAATAAAATAATTCATATTGAATAATATTCAAGTTGAATTTTTAAAATGGGTAAATTATTATTATTTTTAAATAAATATTATTAGAATTTAACTAAACCAATGTTTCGTTCAACCATTATAATTAAAAAAATGAACAACGAATTTATTCACGAAGCTCTTCTTTCTTTTCTTTTCTATAGTCAATAACACTCATCACAATACAAGGTATTATTAATAGTGCAAATACTACGATGCAGATGATAAGCGAGAACCATGGATGGACATATCCATCCTCAAATGGAAACCACGAGAAATCAAATGCCCCGTATGTTCTTGCCTCACAAATTGCCGCACATAAAAGTACTATCATTCCGTTCATTTCAATCTCGTGTGTATTTCACAGATGATATGACAACTCTCGAAATGCCATTCTTCTTTTTTCGTCTTTTCAAAAGATCAACCCAACTATAAACAATAGTTAATTTACAATAAACTAAACTAAACATATTCGCTTAAAAAAATGTCCTGTCATTTTAACTTCTCGTTCTGGCGTCTGAAATCTTCACAAAAAGCTCTGTGCGACTGAGAGAATGATAACTTGCAAGATTCCCCCCAAAAAACCTCCCAATGAAATCATCAGCATAACCACGTTCGTTCCGACACGCTCTTCAACTCTTTTACAAATTTTGAGAATACAATGCGCTGTTAAATACCCCTGACTTGCCCCCAAGATAATTGTAGCAAGACAGTCCACCGTTCCGATCACATTTTGAATGCCTTTTAACAAGCTTGTTTCTTCCTTTGAATCGATTCCGAGGAGTGCTCCAATATTGAGGATCGTGCAAAACACAACAAAGAGTATTACCCGGGACAGCGTGACACCCAAGATGGTTTTTTTCGACGGTGTGAATGGCGCAAAACACGCAATCGATCCGCACAAATCAAATCCCGTGAAAATGAAAGAGATGACGTTTAAATGAAACACGTATTTTGAGTTATTGTTAGTTGTGATTGTTTCTGCTGACGTGGTGATATTGAAATTGTTTAACATTCCGGGGAAGATATAGTTTGAGCAAAAGTAGACCAAAAAGAGGGACGTGGTGCAGTATTTTAACGTCACCATTTCGTGTTTAATTTCCAAAACGCTTGCCTTGATACTGAGAACAAATCGTTTGAATTTTGATGGGATTCTATTATTAATAGAAAGAAAAGTAGTTTCTTCCGTTTGATGGAAAAATGAGTGCAAGTGCGGAATAGTTTTGTAGCAATAGAAAAAATAGCTAATAAAGAAGAGTGGAATAATGACGACCAACGTCAACGTGATGACAATATAAACAGTTTGTTTATGATGTAATGTGAGATTATTGATGAGATTGATGAGTGCGGAAAGAAATGGACCGCTAGACGTCCCGATGATGAACCCGATCAAGTGTGACGGGGACAACGTGATAGATATATATACAAACGTTGAGAAATTGATAGCGGAGAGTATCCCATTAATGAATGAACAAAATACTAAAAATATTCCAAATACGAGATTGACGGTGTGCGGATCGAAATGATCGAACAGTTGTAATACTGGTGGATAAGAAGGAGTCATAATGAGTGTTAAAATATATTGCCCTAATAATGTTATACAACTTAAAGGGAAAAATGGGTACTTTGGAGTGACAAAGGATAACACTACAAGGAAGATCACAGTAATCAAATTAGTGATATAAAACACTATAGGAACAAAGTAAAACAGTGACACATTCCCTAGATTAACACCAAGTGCTGCAGTCGTCGATGTTATAGTAGTGCCGTGGAAGTTGAAACAGGTCCCTAATACAAGACATAAGAGAAACGTCTCGATGTTGTGTTTAGTCGAAAGGTCGGGATTAAATAACGACGTCGATTTCCGGATGATCGATGAGTCTTCATTCACATCTAGAAGTGACCCGGTACTATTCATTTGGCCCGAATAACTCGAGATGGGCTGTTGGTAATATCCGGAGTCGTTCGCCATCATTAGAACTATACTATACCTTTCACAGTTTCTAGTTTGAATGAGCTATAATTATAGTTTCTTTTTTTTTGTAAGAAAGATTTGGTACTATATTTTATAATTATTTTTACTACTATTTTTAATTTGTTTCGCTTTGAGGACATTAAGAATTTGAATTAGAAATTACAATTGCAATGAATGGTAAAAGTATTAATAATTTACTATAAAAAAATGAATAAGTGATCAATGTAAGATTCATACAATTAACTATGAGGAACAAAAGGACAAAAAGATGTAAAAAACTATGAAAGAGAGTGAGGAATTGTATTGTCATGTGTTAAATACAAGATAACATAACATACAAACAATTATTTAATACTTCGATGTGTGGGATAATCAACCCAAAGAGAAACAATAGTTATTTATTTGCAAGTATTTAACAAATGAACAGGTTTAGTCTTCATCAAACAGAAGGATAGATGCCATGGGTTTGGGTCTGACTACGACAATCGAAGTAAACTCATGGCTACAAAGATAGTTGTCCTCTTGCCCAAGACCAACAGAAAAAAGAAAGGCCCCCTCAAACTCGTCCACTGTGGTTATTTTCTGTTTCTCGGTGCCGGAGAGACCACAACTAGACAGGTTCTGAAATTTCGAGCGTTTGAGTGGCTTCGCCATCTTTGTTTTTTCCAGTTTTTCCCTCCTAAGTATCACTGCGTTCCGCGCTCGGTGATTGTGAGATGTTCTTGAGATTCGAGAACACCTTTTGACTTTTACAAGAATCAAGACTATTTTTAATGGAAAATAAATTAAATTCATTAATAAAATATACCATTTTTTATATTATTTCATTGGTTGAGAATGTTCCAATTCTATTTTTCGATAATTGTTTTTTTCGAATTATTATCGGTCGTTATTTTCGTTTCGGGTATTATTATTTAATTTATTATTATTATTTTTACCATCATTTTATAGTTTTTTTTTTGAAATGTGTAAAAAATATGGAGGTTTTCCAAATAACCAATGAAGCTTTTTACATATTTATTTACTTCATTTTTACTATTTTTAATTTAATTAAAATATATTAATACATAACTATAAAAATATCGTTTTATTATTAAACAGTGCCACGTTAAACACGAAAGTTGAATTAGCCATATTATTTAAGATGTAAATGATTATTAATTACTTTTAACAAACTGATTTTCTTTTTCAGTTCAAAATATAACTATAGAATGGTTTATTTTCTAATACATTTTAATTAAACCAAATCTTGACTCTTTTTTTAGTTTTTTTCACATTTTTTTAAATCCATTAAAGCACTTAAAATATAAAATTTTCACATTAACTATTCAAAGAATATAAACTATTTTTTTACTATACAAAAACTCTATTAAACTTCTACTATAAATTATTAGAATTTCTAATTTGATTACTTATTAACACTTAAAATAAATCCCTTGTTTTTGTTATGGCCTGTTTTTACAGGGATATTAATCAAATTTTTGATCATTTTCCTTTTTTTGGCTTGTGTATAGTTTATGCAAATAATATAAACTCTATAAAAACGGAAATTTATTTAATATACTCGAGATTTCCCCGATTTTTAGACCACTTGAATTTTGTTCAATGTTATTTAAGGTGTTAAATTAATAATAATATAATTATATAAAAATAATACTATATTTTATTAGTATATATATAGTCGGGTGATAAAGGGGGTTAATTTGGGACAGAAGTAGTTAATTTGAGTAAAAAACTATAAAATATAATTTCTTTAACCATAAAGGTATTAGAAGGGTTTTTTCAATTAACTACTTTGAAGATAATAAAAGAAAACCATAACTTTCTATTTTTGATATTATTCAATCTTTGAAAACAATGGAAGAAGAAGAGAAAGGAACCCTCGATGAAACAACCACAGGCAATCAACACAAAAAAGCAATTCAAATGCAAGAAACTGGTTTAAAAACTGTATTTCAATATATATTCACGATGTATATAATTAAAATGCCAGAGTTTAATGAATTAACAACAGTGTCAATCTTTTAAAGTGTCACAGAATCACTGAAATACATCATTTGTTGAAATCTTTCAATCTTTCGTTGTTGAACCATTCCCATTGAGAAAGGATAAGAGAAAGACCATTTTAACATTAAAACAATTGGAGTTGAAAAAGAGCAGAAAAGAAATGAAACAAAGGAAAAAACAAAGGAAAAATTCTTTAACAAAACAAGTTTCAGACAAACCATAAAAAGTGCTGCGTTTTAGACTTCCACATTTTTTAAGTGAACAAATTGAGGTGTTTTTGTTTATTTTTGAAATAGAAATTTATAATTATTCAATTTATAATCATTTAAAATAAAAAACTATAATTTAAATTATTATTTTAATTTTATGTTTATTTTGACCTTTAAATAGATTTTTTAAAAATTATAGTTTTAAAATTACATTTATCAAAATTAACTACCTTTGTCTTTTTTTAATGCTATTTATCCCCCGACTATATTAATAAAATAATCTTTATTAATTTACCTATAATTAATTCAACCATACTAAAAAATCGTCAATTAAATTGATTACGGCGACGAACTAGATGAAGTTGCCGTACTTTCTCCCGACTTACTTTTATCCTTTTCTTCTCCTTTATTTTCGGTAGGTTGTTGGCTTTCATTATTTCCTTTTTCTTCAACCTTCTTATCATTTTTGTTTTCTTTTTCTTCGGAGCTTGATGATGTTTGGTCCTCGTCACTTTCTTCGAAGATGTTTTCCTTTGCGTTGAAGACTTTGTTATTCTTTCTGTTTTTGAGTAACACGAGTTTAGCGTAGATGACAAAGAGAATCAACAGAACAAGAACGATGACGGTGCAGACGGCAAACACCACAATGATAGCAATTGCCCACCCCGGAACTTCATTATTTGTCGTGTTAGTTACTATGAATGCTTCATCGGATCCAAGAGGATCTTCTGGACACTCTGTAACAGTATATCCCTTCTTGACAAGAGCTACGTAGATGTTACAGACTTGTTTCACTTCATATTGGCTGGCGTCTATAGTTACTTTATAGTTTGATGAACTATATTTGGTCTGTTCTTTAGGATTGACTATTGTTACGCCAAACTGCGTGACAAAGTTCTGTATCTCCGTTCTTACCAAGTACAGGACATCTCCATTGAACTCCCCTGAAAGGGCAATTTTCATAGCAGAACCATCACTTACTATGATTTTGGCAGCTGGTGCAATGACCCATGGGAACATCTGTCCTTGTGTCATGACAATTGTAATTGGACTTGTTGGGATTTTGAATGTCCCAGCAGTCATCGTGAGTTGCGACGCGTTGATCTCCATTTCAGTAAACTCAATTTGACCAATAACGCCACTGTTCATCGACAATGCAACACTTTTACTGTTGACAACTCTCATCTTTGATACAACAATTGCACTCTTCGTTTTAATAGTGACAGCACCCGTGTTGTTCTCAAACAACAAACTTGAATCACTTGTCGTTGTATCTCCATCTTGAGTCTGTTCCTCTATGTCATACACAAATGACGACGCTTCAGTGTTGCTGATCGTCACTGCTGTTCCCTTCGATATTTTCAAATGGTCAATGCCAAATTTTGTTATTGAAAATGTGATTGGCAGGTTCTGCCCCTGTTCCACTTGATTTGCAAGCAGTTGACTCCCAACTAAAGTCGCTTCGCCCGACACACGAAGGGAATTCAGTTCGGACACATTAATTCCACTCATGACAAACGGGTTGACGGCTCCCGCAATTAACTCACAAAACTCACCATCGCACGCACACCCTTTTCTATCCCACGACTTTGCCTCATTACCGTCGTTGAATGGGATATCGACGATTTCATTTTCCGACGTGATGTCTTTCATAGTGCACACGATGTCGTCTCTGCTCAATTTATCGATTTTGTATGACGCAATGGAGTTGTATTTATCAACATAAATGTTCTCTGCTTTATTTTTAATTGAAATGTAATTGATGTCCGAAGCAGTTGCTATCAAATACGAGTTCAACGTCGATGGAATGATTTTTAAGGTGTTCACAGTGAATTTGTTTCCACTCGTTACTAAGAACGTGTTCATCTTATCAGTCTCTTGATCCACAGACTGTCGACTCACCTCCAAATTTCGTACTGAAAATTCCCCACGCACAGCAATCGGCTGTTTTGTTGTTATTATCAAATCTCTCTCCGACATGTCTTTAGACAAAGTTAACGCTACAACCTCCCCTGAAACTATGGAGTTCGAGTTAACTGTGATTTTGGAATTCACACCGACTTTGTCCAAATTCAAGTTACCTCCCTTGTTGAAAGTCACAGTGGCGTCCGATTTTGATGTGAATGAATTGATTGTTCCCGCACCCGCAAAAGTCACAGCAGAAAACTTATTAGTGTTGAGTTCCAACGATGGAATAAGAATATCCGAAACTTCATTTGTGAATTCGATCTTCCCCGATAACACCACTTTTGATGGGGTGAAAGTGTCTTTGGTGTTGATTTTAACATTCGATGATACCGTGAGTTTGTTAATAGTACCTTCCATATTAGTTATTACGACATTGTCCATGTTCTCCGGTACCACAATTTCGCACCCAGTTGTATATAAACTACTCTTAGTGTTGGTACATGGGCAGAAGTTGATATTGTCGTAGTTTGTATTGACAGAAGAATCTATTGAAGACGCCGTGGAGGTGATCACACACATCTCACTTCCTCCACAGTCAAACGGAGTCGCTTTCGATGGACATCCCACCCAGATCTTCGAGGAACATCCTAAAGCAGCCAACTCGACGTTTGTTGCACTCTTAATGTTATACGACTCCGTGTCGACAGAAGACGGAGCAGACGCAAATGTGGCCAATGGAAGGCAAACGGATGACGTTCCTGTAAAATCAATGGAAAGGCCTGTGTTCACTTTTAACGCACTACTCACGTCAGTTCCTGTCATAAACGACTTTGTGTGGTCGCCTTTATTATCAATGACGTGTAATTTGGCATTTGGTGTGAAGACTAATTGCGACGCCGAGCCAATGAAAATCGAACTCATTTCAGTGGCAGTCTGGTACAACGACATTTCATCGACTTCAAACTTTCCACTACGAAGATACACAGAGCCGTGGACATCCAATTTGAGTTCTTTATTATCGCCTTTGACATGTTCTTTATCGAAAAAGGTGTCTTTCATCAGTGTCAAATTGAGTGGGTGTGTGATCTCAAATTCATTAAGTGTCGCTTTTGTGTTTAAGACAAGCTCTGTACTTACTGCGCTTGTTATTTTCTCCGCTTTAAACCCTCCCAAGTTGAATGTGGCTTTTGCTGAGCTCAAACTGAGTTCCTTCACAATATTTAAGTTGTATGTCGATGTTAATGTGACTTCAGATTCGATAACAAGCTTAGTGAAACTCAAAGAAGCACCGATAGTAGTTGGCTTTGTCGTAGCGATGTTGACGGTGCAACTATCATAAGTTGATTCGGCGTGGTGTACACAAGGGCAGTTCCTATCTGTGTTGTCCAAATACGAGTCGGGGTTATTTAAGTCTGGGTTCTCAACAGTTGGATTGACAACACACACTTTCTCCGACAAATCGTAGTCTCCACAATTCACTTCAGACTCCGAAGATACAAAAACGCGTTGCGAACAGGAGAGAAGTAATCCCGTTGGGACTGAACCCAAGAATGTTCTTGACTTTTGGTTAATGGCAATGACATTAGTAGTCCCTGTTGTTATAGCTGCTGTTGTGCTTTCAGTTACGATTAAATTGTCGGACAATTCTGAATTGATAATTGGGTCTGTCTTCGTGGCAGAAGACGTTTGTAGTGTTAAGTGCAACTGTTTCGATTTCACTTGGCCGTTCTTGATATGAATTCTTGACTTCTCGTCGATGTCCAAAGACTCCAAGTCCAAAAGAGTGACGTTGTCTGCAACAGATAGTTTAGAGTGAATAAGTTTGAGTGTAGTAACGCCTTCTGGTACAACACTGACTTCCACGTTCTTCAATATTAATGGTTTCACTATTGAAAATTCTGTGACGTCCAATTGAGTGAATTTGGTGTCAGAACTTCCATCCAATTCTCCTCCATTAAATATCAATTTCTTCACTGTCAAATCTGATTGGAGTGAAACGCTAGGACGAGTTATGTTCAACGTCCCTTCTTTCAAAAAATCTGTAATGACCTTTTCAGTGCTCATTTCAATAGAAGAAGAACCTATTGAATAGAGTTCCGAGCACATTTTAGTACTCACAGTCACAAACCCGTTGTGGAGGTTACACGGGCATTTCGTGATATCATTTAAATGGAAGTCGATAGAACTTCCATCACACGAGACTGTCCAAAAGTTGCTATCTTTTATTTTTGACATAAAGTTCTTGATTAAAGTATCATCGTAGATGTCAAATATGACACTTTGTGGTGGTAGATTGTTTTCATTTCCTGATTTTATAAAAGTCAAATTAGCCTTGGTGTACAATCCCTTATAGTTCACCACTGAAGTGGAGTCCATAGAAACATTCTGAACATCGTTCACATCATTATACACATTAACTCTTGAATGCGAGATTAAGTTTATTTGATTAACCCGTGTGTATACATTGACTGTTGCTGACTGACTAACTGCCACCATTCCAGTGTATTGGGTTGTGGAGTCAGCAATGATATTTGCACTTCCTCCAATGATATTGATAGCCCCAGACGTCCCAGTGACCTTAATCGTCGATTTTATGTTTTCAAAAATGAGATTGCCGCTTCCAGTTTCTTCATTTACAGTGACGCTAGTAAATCCATTGAACGTGGCAGTCGCTAATTGTTCAATATTCAACTTCTTGATCACCAAATTTCCAGTTCCACTAATTCGTGAAGTTTTCAAGACATTAAAAGTAACTGGATGTGCTTCATCGAATGAACCAGGTATCGTGAAGGTATCAGAATTGACTTCAAAGATGCATTCCGAGTCAATGAGAGTGCACGGACAAATCGAGTTCTCCAAAGTGAATGTATCAGTGTTTGTGCACTTTGTTCCAATAACAGTAGTAGAGACTGTTCCAGTCGACACTTTAACAGCAGAGGGATACACCGCATATGACAAATCAGTGTCATAATTATCAATACTAAATTTAATGCCTGTAGCTTGAAGAGTGAATTCTGCTGATTTAGAAGTTGATGTGGAAGACAGTGTTCCTATAGTGACTTGAGTCTTTTCTGGTATAGTGAAGTCCTTATTCAAATAGAACTTATTAAATATGAGTTTAGTGACAGCATTATCGACACTAATTCCACTCGCGGAGAAGACTGAGAAGGTCGAGTCTTTCATGACCTTCACGTCTGTTGAGGAAAAGAGTCTGACATTCCCAGTTGAAGTCTCCAAAGTCAAAGTCCCTTCATTTTGAATAATCAAAGCATTCTTTGTATCACTTGCTGTCACTGTTTTGATGGTCACTGTGTTGGATTGACCGATGAAGAGTGTCCCTGTTCCACTAACACTATTCAAGTTGGTTGTGACCACCCCAAAGCAACCAACAGACATCGTTAAGTCCGAGTCCGCGGGTATAGTAGACATGTACTTGTTGCATTCCACTGCTGCTGAGATGCACAATGGTAGTAAGGCAAAGAGGTAGAGCATGATATTTATGAGTTTTTTTAATTCTCTTTTTATTTGGCTCTATCTTTTTTATAACGTTCTTTCCGCCATTTTTAGAATCAACTTGTTTCATTATCCACTCTTATCGTATTTTTGGTATTATTGTATAAGTAGTGATTATTATATTTTTTAGCATTTGTTTTTCAGAATAGTAAAAACAAAAAATTACAAAACATTTCGATTTTTATAAATGTAAAAAAGACAAAATTGGTGTTTTTTATTTGTCGATAAAAAAAGTGACGACTTTCAAAAATGGAGTTTTTATCGTCTTTTTTTCGCGTTTTGTTCTTTAAACAATATTTTTATTCCGAAATAATTTTTCCACAAACCATCATTATAATAAAACAATTTTAAAATAAATCAGACAAAAATATCCCATTTGGAAGATAACAAATTCTATTAGAATAGTATTTAGTAATTAATAAATATTACAACGAATTAGAATTAATCCCAAGTGATATCTTCGAGAAAGACACAAGGACTTTCTGTATATGGCAATTTTTGTTCCCCTTTACACCACGTGTTTTTAGGGCAATGTCTTGTCCCATTGAATTGTTCAGAGCATTGATAGTACTGATCGTTATGAATACCATCGATGATACAGAAGAGTCCCAATCCCCTGCACTTAAAATTGAGGTATTTGTTTTCGATTTGTTGTGACGAGTCTTCAATAGAACTATCGAGTAAGACACAGGGACTTTCTTCATTAGGGACTTTACCTTTATATCCACATTTAGTGCCAAGTGGACATGGTAAATAGCCTTTATAATAAGTACTACAGAAGTAATACTTATAATCATGAAGCCCATCTAAAACACAATAGTCTCCATCAGACTGACATATATCGTCTGTGGAAATGTCTTTGGTGGTATCAACGGAGATGGAAGACTCTAAGACACATGGAGAGTCACTATCAGGGACTCGTCCTATATACCCACATATAGTCCCAACAGGACAATAGACATATCCTTTGTACTCATCACTACAAATATAATACTCTTTGGTATGGTTACCATCTTGCACACAATAGTTACCATTACTAGTACATATACTATTATTTATAGTTTCTTCTTGACTCTTTGTAGAATCGTCTTTGGAAGGATCTTTGGATACTTCAGTGTCTTGTACTTGAGAAGAAGAAGAAGACTGTTGAGTAAGCGACTTGGTTACACAAGGACTAGATGTATAAGGAACTTCCCCTTTAAAGCCACAGACACTCCCACTGGGACATGTCAAGAACCCTTTGAAGACATCAGAACAGATCAAAAACTTGTTCTTGTTCTTCTCTTCATCAACACAGAAATAGCCATTCTTGGTACATAACTCTTTTAAATCAGTACTCTTGTCTTCAATTGCTGCAGAACGATCATCACTAGTGTCTTGGGAAGATTCACACGACTTCTCTGTACACTTTAATGACTGTGGTGGTATCCCACAGGGGTTGAAACCGATCGGAATCTGATCAAAGTAAATACAAGAAGTCCCGGGAGAACACGGGCGATATCCTTGAAATGTCTCAGAACATACATAATAGTCGTTCTTGTGTGCTGTATCATTAACACAGTATAATCCTTCCGATTCACATTTAACAGTAACTGTTGAGAGAACTTCTATGAAATAAAGAAGAAATAACAAGAAGAACATCGTATGAATACTAAGTCCTTTCTTATCGTTTTTATTGCGCGTGGAGTGCGATCTCCGAGACAAACAAAGTCATTCCATTTCTGTTATTATGTCTTCTCTGGTTCTTTTGTATCTGAAAGTATTTAATATAAAATTTGTACTATTCATTTAGTTTCTTTTAATTATTAATATTAATTTATCGTCATTAACAAAATGTGTGACATATTATTAAAATTTTTATTATGAAATTAAATGGTTTATTTTATTAATAAAAGTGAAATATTATAATTTATTATAATTAACTTTTATTATATTTATTTAATTAATTATAACTATAATAATTATTTTGATTATAATATATTTAATAATAGTATTATTATAATTAAACTAATATTTAAATTAACTATAATTATTAAATTAACATTAGTTTAATTTAGTTTATTTGATGAGAAATAAATTCTATTTATATGAAGAAGTTGATTTTCATTTTAATTGAGTTTCAAGTTACTACAGGTGAGGTACTAACCTGTCAACCAGAACTAACCTGTCAGCCATTTTCCTTTAGGAAGCCTAAAACCCGGATTAGTACGTTTTTTATGGCATTTGTTTTTTGAGATTTCATCTCAAAAATGAAACCTGTCAGCTTTTTTGGTATTTTTGGGTTTTGTAAAAAAGTAAAACTAAAAAAGAAAAACAATGAGAGTAAAAGACATCTTAATTGTGATGTTCTTCATCAACGCCTTGGTCATCGAGGACCAGCCTCAGCTGAAGCTGATGGGTGGGATGCTGGGACAACATTCCGCCACGCTGTTGCAATTCACTATGTGGGAAGAATTGAGGAGAAAAAAGGTTTGTCTTCTTTGAGAATACCCCAGTGTTTCGAATGGGGTTCCGAGTGTCACATAATTAACAGCGAAGGTGGGTTGGAAACTGGGGGTTCCAGAACCATCAGGTTGAAAAGAATCCAACCGGGGCGGTCGCAATTCTACTTGTTGAGTATTATGGATGGAAGTCTCTTGACCGGCGTTGGAAATGCTATTGGTGTCCATTCTTCTGTTATTGCTTGGAGCTCTTCCTCTACGACTTGTTCTTCTTCCTCTTTGCTCGTTTTGTTGGGAACTTCCTGGGATGTTTTGAATTGGGGTTATGGGGCAATCGGGTTGAACCACTGTTACATTAACACCATCCATCCTTTCGAACCACCTCCTTGAAAACGTGATATCGCCACCATGCTTGCTGGAAACAAAGTATCTCCTTTTGTCTTGATCCAGATAAAACTTAACTGGTTCCAAAGACTTATCACTTGGGTTGTATCTTTCTTTAAACTCTGTCAGTTTCTGGATCTCGTTCTGTATCAGGATTACACTCTGTCTCATTTCTTCGGAACAACAAATGTTCTCTATTGCTTCGACACCTTTTGTGATCGTCGCAACCAGAATCGACAAAAGGTTGGGAACTTCAACAACCTTTTCATCGACAGTCCCAATGAGAACGGGTTCATTCGGAATTTCCGACATTTCCAGAATGTCCGTTCTTGTCGCGATGGAAGTATATTCTTTTACAAACCGCGCAGCTCGATTCGGGTCAATTCTTATTCGTTTGATACTATCTACCTCTCTGACGACAATCCCACTTCTATCAAATGAAGCCACCACTGTTCCAATGGTTGAGCGAACACTCAGAGTCTTAAAAAGTGAGGAGATTTTGAGGCTGATTTGCCTTCCGTTTGGAGATCTTTTGTTTCCATTAAGGACTTTGTTGATTGCTTCATCTTCCATTGCAAACGACTTCATAATCTCTACGTCCTCTGGATCTTCGATGAATTCATTGAAGGCGTCGTTGACTTCCTGGTCGGACTCATCTTCTTGTTCAACTTCTGAAAACATAGTGGTGATTTCTTTGGTGGGAGCGCTCTTTCGAACAAGTGACTTTGCTGCGTTTGAGTGTTTTTTGACTGCTCCAAAAAAACACAGATCGAGTGGTTGAGTGAGGTGACTTGAATGGGGGCAGTATGTGTGCAATTTGATCTGGTTTGCTTCGAGCCATCCAAGAAGCTCCTCGTCAAGATGTCCCGAAAAGTTGTCCATTGTGATAAGTCCCCAACTACCATCAAGACCAAGTTCTGTTCTCTTTTTGACGATCACTTTGATGATCTGCGCCATCCAATGCTTGAAGATATATTTGTTGACGAACCCGTTGTTTGTGTAATAGACGAAACAGTCGGGGAACTTCTCTTTGGCTTCGCAAAAGAACTGTTTTTGGTTGATGACAATGCCGAAAGGCAACGTTGTTCCATCCGCACAAATTCCAACTATCGCTGTGGAATGTTTACTTGACCTGCTACAACCGTGATTTGGGGTTGTCTTGTCCTCATTACTCTGGAAGATGTATAGATCCTTTCTGTCTGCCCAATCGTTGCTTCCCATTTCATCGATGTTTACACATAGGGCTGTTGGTATATTGTCAAACTTTTTGAGCTCTTTGAAGTTATCAACAATGTTCTCTGGATTGATGGAGATTCTGTCTAGATCTTCTGCGGTTGCTTTCTTGAAACCAATCTTCAACTTCTTCATGTGTTTAATGAGACCCCGTCGCGATATTTCAATGTCGGGTACTTTTTGACTCAGGTACCGAAGAATTCCAGTGACAGTACATGCAATTCCCTTTCGTTTACAAGTGACAAGCCACTTGTCGATTTTGTTATCAACATCTTTGGAGATTTTTGGAGGTTTGCCGTTCTTCAATTCTCCGATTCTTCTTCTGGTGTGGGTGTCTATCGTGGATTTTGAAGCACCATAAAGCATCTGGATATTTCTTGTTGAGTGATGAAGTTTGTAATGCAAATAATGGATTTGTTCACGCATGGAAGTCTCCTTCAAAAATGTCTCATCCTGCCAAGCTTGTTCAAGAGCCTGTTCAACAAGAAGAAGTCTCTTTGGAGAGATACTATTCTCTTTTGATTTCTGGACATTTTGACGCATGCTGTTTTGTGAAAGAGAAGGTTTCTTCAACTGTTTTGTTTCTTTTGTCTCTTTTGGAATTTCAGTGTTGTGATCAGCGACAACCCGATTTTGAGGATTAGGGAAGCAGGACTTCAGATTCAGTGATGAAAAACTTGGCAACATGAAAAGGATGTTTAAAGTTATGAACGATTTAAAACCTAAAAGAAAATTGTTTAGATGAAAATAATGGATTGTTTTGTGCAAAAATTGGGGTTTTGGGGAATTTGGATATCTTCCACTTTAACTTTTTGGTAAAGACTTTGAAATTGATTCAATACGAAGACATTTTCTAAAAAAATCAAGAAAATATAACCAAGTAAAAAAGAAAATGTTTTATAAAACGATGACTCTTTTTGGTGAAATGAGGACAAATTTTGGAAATTTTTGAAGTTTTTTTCGGCTTTTTTTTCATTTTTGAAATTCGAAGAAAACATCTCATTTGTTCATTGCTTTTTGTTATTGATTTTGTTGAACTTGAATAATCTAAAAAAGACAAATTAATGGTTAAAATACCATAAATTGAATTTAAAAAATGGCTGACAGGTTAGTTCCGGTTGACAGGTTATTACTCCAACTGTATCGAAATGGTATAAATTGAATTAACACACTTTATCTATTTATAATCATAAAATGAACTTTAAAATACTAATAAAAGTTTCAGCTATGAATCAAACACAACTTTTTGAGACACTGATTCACCCAATTTCTGAATATATAAAATTGAACGAAATGTCGAGAATGATATATAACACCAATGCAAATATTTATAGTCGTGCGTCGTCAGCTACAACATTAATTGAAAATTTTGATGCGTACACACACCTCAAATCGACTCTTAATGATTCAATAACACAGTTAAAAACATATTTGGATACTTTGTCATTACCATCAAATACTCCACAAACAAAAACTACAGACGAAGAGTTCAACGCACTTATCGATTATTCAATACGACTCGAGAAAGACCGTTTGCTTCAAGAGGAATCCGATATTCATCGTCACATTGAAGACGTCAAAAACGGTTCAGAGGAGTCTATTCGACAACTTCAAAGCCGTAAAAAACAGGCAAACCATTTTAATAATTCTTTATATGCAACAGAAGTCAAGCAGCTTGAGGAGTGGTCTGGCAAAGATATTGAAAGTGTTTTATTTGACAGTGAGAAAGATAGTTGGGGTATTGAAGAGAGTGTTTTTGCCACGCACATTGATGGGAAGAAAGACTTATTATTTTTAATAGAAGACTTTGATGGTAAAAAGTTTGGAGGAGTTATTTATAGTAATATAAACTGTTTTTCAAAAGTCGGTACTGTCATATTTTTAGAACTTCCTAAAGTCCCGTTTTTTATTTTCGTTTTTACCTAAAATAATAAAAAACAAAAAATCGAAAGTACCGACTTTATTTTGAAAAAAATACCAATACCGTTCAATTATTTTCTTACAAATTCGGGAAAATATTGGAATATTAGCCAGCCTTTTTCCAAAAAACCCGATCCCGTTATTTGATTTGACCTCAACTCGATACTTCCCAACATATATTCAGTACTGTTGGCATAAAAGCACAACAATTAACGTTTAAGTGAATTTTGATGGTGTTGTTCGTGTCGAGTTTTAACTGAATATTACTCTGTTTAAAATTTAATTGAAATTTAAAACAAACTGTGGTTTCCTATTCTGAATAAAAAATAATGAAATAAAGAGTTCCAAAAACACCAAAAAAAATAAATTACAGCAAATGTTTGATAATTTTGACAGACCAAGTCAAAGAACAACACAAGAAAAGACGATAAAATGATATAACAATAATGTTTTGTTATTGGATATTTTAAAAAAGATATTCTCACTAAATGCTCAAAGAGAATGTCGACTTTATAAAAAAACAACGAAGATAAGTTATCAAATCATTTTGTTATTTTTATTGTTTTTGTGACAACACTATTAAGCATACTAATCTTCGAACTAAGCTTTTGTTTTGTGAATATTTCATTAATTAATGAAATGTTTGACTTTGAAAATTTTTGGCATTAAATTTATCAGCTTTTTATAATAAAATGCACTTTTGGGAACATTCACGTGTATTTCAAAAACAAAAATCCCGTTATTTCAAATTTTATATGGATTTTTTTAATGCTTAAAAATTCTTCAAGTAAAAAAATATTTTTTGAAGACTGTTTTTCTCTTTTTTACTTGGAAAAAATAAGTGATTTTTATTACAAAAAAACGATTCCCAAAAATAATAAACAAAATAAATGCAAACAATCGGGACACCTCAGTACCGACTTTTGAAAAACAGTTTAGTTTTGGAAGATGACGTGGAAGATAAAAATGCGTTTTTATTCACTTTGGGGGAAAATAAAGGGAAATACCCACTGATTGAGGAATTCAAAGACTACGCTTTTTATTGTGAGGCAGACGATGAAGATCTCTTTTATATATGCGATGAGGCTATAGTCATTTCTAAAAAAGGAATCTTCGGATGCTCTTGCAAAACTAACAAAACTCTTAACACACCAAAAAACGCGTTTTGGGAAAAAGAAAAGTTCGAACCGAAGAGGATTACCGTCTTGCAACTGCATTAAATTTTTTGTGTATTTTTTATTAGTAATTAACTATTTGACTCAAAAGAATATTAACTATATTTTATTATAATTTAATATATTCTATATAGTTATAGTCATTAAAGTTTAACTAATTGTATTGGTTAAATTATTATAAAATTAAAAGTCTGTAATTTTTTAATTTTTATTAAAAATAAAATTATAAATTGTAAATTTCAATCATGTTTTTTCAATAGTCTAAAAATGTTGTGACATATTACTAACTTCAAATTATAAAAAATAGCTTAAAGTATTTAATTAAAGTTTAATTCTGTTATAGTATTTAATTTAACTATAATTTAATATTTTTTTTAAAATAATCAAAGATAAAAATATTAAAAATATTTTATTATTTAAATAATAAAATAAACCATATTTTTAATTTGATTCAAATGATTGTAACTTTGGTATTTTATCGATGTTGGATGTTATTTTGACGGTGTATGATAAAAAGTATTTTTTTATAATTTAAATCACAAATAAAAAATCACAAAAAACAGGAAAATGGAGATGTTTTTTTATTTTAAATTAAAAAAACCAATGTTTTTTGAATTTCAAGTCGTTGGAGTTATTTAGTTTTTTTCAAAAAATTTGCAACCCATTATTAGTAAAATAATAACAAAAATGTAGTTAAAAAAAAGACTGTCAGAACAAATTCTTTTTTTCAAAAGAGAAAGATAAATATATATAGTAAAAACAATGGTACATAACTATACAATTTCAAATTTTGTTTAAAATGCCGAAAAAAAATTTGATCAAATCCCAAAACAAAAAATGAAATCTAAAAATAAAAAAACAAATTAATAGTAAATAAACCTAAAAATTTGTTAAAAAATAGAATACTGACAAACCATATTACATAAAGTGCCTTTCTTCACCCTTTTAATAAAAAGGCGAATAGCAAAAACCTTAATTTTGGTAGAACTTGAAAAAAAGCGACATTTGTTGCACCATTTTTTAGTTATTTCAAACAAATGAATCCCCGAAATTGACAACGAAAAACAAAAGAAATTTGTTCATACAAAAATACAAAGAAATCTTATTTGAAATAACACGAATAGATCGGTTAAAAAAAGAAAGAAATGCGTTGATATGAAAATAATCTTTATGTCAATTTTTTCAACTCAAAGTTGCCCGACTTATCAGATGTTTTGAGTATTAATATAATTTATGCCTAAACGAAAATACAATTTTAAAGTAATGAATGAGTAAAGAGCCGATATTATATGGATATATATGTAAGTATTATATCAATAAATGGAGTTAGTGAATGAGTTCGACTATTTGAAGTACTAAAAACAAATAAAACATTATAATGCTCTTTTTCTTCGCACTATGTTTATGTGCGCTCTCAACACCGGTCCTTATCTTAAATGGCAAAGAACCAAGAACAGACAACCCAAATTGTAAGTCGTTTTCGTTTGTTCAAGGATCTAATGGGGCTACGACCTCGGTCACTTGCAAATCATGTGAAGACTCAACTTACAAATATGCAAGCGATGCTTGCACTTACGACGCTACAAAATGTGCATCGTCTGTAGGAAAGGTATACAACATTTCAGGGTCTTGTGGTGTTTGTGATACTGCTTGTACCAGTACTTGCACTTCTGATGCTGTTTGCACTTGCAAATTCTCATCAACCAAAAGTACTTGTCAGTCTTGCGTTTTAACCAATTTTAACTCTGTTTCAAAGTGTGACTTGTGCAAAAGAGGAATGGTCACAGACGCTGCAAAGACAAGTTGTGTTGCTATAACTGGTGATAACAATCCTGATACTTTGAATAATCAGAATAATTGTGCACTTGCTGGTTCTGAAGGTGATAACCAATTCTGTTTGAAGTGTAATGGCAAAGCTCAACCAACTTCAGGTGAAGGTCTCACAGTCTGTGGGCAAGCAATTGATACAATAACAGGATGTATCAGACAAAATCAAGACAAATGTGTTGTATGTGATAAAGGGTACTATTTAACTGATGGTGCTTGTACTAAAGGAGACGATAATTGTGACGCTCCTTTCTTATCTGGAAGTACAGTTACATGTACTAAATGCAGAGAAGGTTACTATCTCAAAAATAACGCATGTAGTAAGTGCACTCCAATGGACACCTCATCTTCATCAATACTTCCAGCAGATCAAAGATATGACTCTGTTTGCAGTTTGTTCAGCAAAGAGACATGCACCCAATGTAATAGCAGATGTAAGCTCAGCACAGATGGCCAGACGTGTGTATCTACTTTTTGTAGAGAAATGGGATATGACGGTACTTGCAAAGTATGTGAAAAGGGGTACTACTTATTAGGCAATCAGTGTGTCCAAGCACCTCCAAATTACTTTGTTCCAGGGAGTAACACTGAGTGTGTTGCTGGCTATTACCTCGACAATACCAATGGCGTTAATTCGTGTAAAAGGTGCAAACCACACTTTGCTCAATGCTTGACACTCCAAACCCCAGTCCCAGGTACTTCCATTTACAGCAACACAAAAGCCACCAAATCCGAGCCTTGTGATGATGAAAATTGTATGTCATGTGCTGATGATGGTACCACATGCTATAAATGTTTTGATACAACAAAAACTGGTGTGGCTTTGGTCAAGGTTGGTGGTACCTGTGTTTTCAAGGCATCAGTTATGACACTCCTTTCTGTGCCTAATACTATTTCAACAGAATTCCCAATTACATATCCGTTCTGTAGATACAGAGGAAAACAAGGATATTTCGAAGATTTGTACCCAGCTTATTATGTTCTTTTAAAAGATAAAGACGAGACATACAACAACGTCTATTGTAATCCACTCCCAAGATTGGACTACATGTACCAATACAAGGAAGATACAAGTTCGGCATACGCTTGTGTTGGAGCAAATAGAGATCCAGCCAAGGGTTGCCAATGTCTTGATGGATATTACCAAAGTGCTTCTAAAACAGCCTCGGGATGTGAAAAGGCCGATACATGCGTTGAGTCTGCTAACGGTGATCAATGCACGGTGTGCCCAATTGGATCACAGGTTAATGGAAATGGAAAGTGTGTTTGTCCAGACAAAACATACTTGAAAAATGGCGAGTGTATTCCATGCCCCGATAAATGTGCTACTTGCCAACCAAATGGAAGTAATGATGTGACTTGTTTAACATGTGAACCAGTTGCTTTGGGAGGAAATGGACGTGACGCGAGTAATAAATGCGAATGTAAAACTGGTTATGCGGAAGATACAACGCAGATTACTGTGTGTTTAGAAATTCCAACAGATTGTACTGGAGTCAAAGGTACCAATTATGTCATAACTGGAAATACTTTGACTTGCTTAAAGTGCAACAGTGCAAACCGATCTCCATCGACCAATTGCCAAGAATGTGTTGAAGGATATTTCTCAGCTATTCCATCAGATACTGGTGACTGTACTGAATGTAATTATGGAGATGCCTGTAAAACTTGTAATTCAACCAAATGTACTGCTTGTAAAGATACCAACGCTTTGCAAGAGAATATGGGCAGTACCACCGCTTGTCAGACATGTAAAGATGGTTACGCCTATAATTCCGACACTTTTGCATGTGAGCGTTGTCGATCAGTTTGTGATGGGTGTTCATACAATCCAACAACCCAAACGATGGGATGTACTCTATGTACCAATGGTAAAAATCCACCCAACTGTGATTGTACTGGTGACTATTACCAAGGAGAAGACCTTACTAAATGTGAGTCCTGTGATAACTCTAAAAACACGTTCTGCACCAGTGCGTGTACTTTAGACATCAACTCAGCATATCCACGTTGCACTGAATGTACAGATGATGCCCGAGAACCCCTTACCAACTGCTCTACATGTAAAGACTCCAAGCAATTTATCAATGCAAACAACGAGTGTCAGAACTGTGCGGATGGCTGCAATTCATGCACAAGTCTCACTGATTGTACTCTCTGTGATCCCGCCACAAACAAAGTTGGTAGCTTATGTGATAAATGTAAGAGTGGTTATTACAACAACTCTAACACTTGCACTGTTTGTGATAATACATGCAAGACATGCACATCAGAGACTGAGTGTACTGAATGTGTCGGTGAGCATCGTCTTCCATCACCAGGTCACAAATGTGAAGCATGTGCCGATGGGTATTATTGGGATGCCACCATTAGTGATTGTGTTGAGTGTTCCGAGAACTGTTTGAAATGCAGTGACAGTACTCATTGTTTGAAATGTACAACAGATGGTTTTTTCAGTGAGACTCCTGTTGATGGGAAGTGCAGATGTATATCTGGTTACATCTTTGTTCTTGACAAGGATGAAGAAGAAAAAGGTACTTGCCAGTCTTGCAAAGCTGAAAAGAATGAGTTCTGTAACACATGTGGAGATAGTGGATGCACTGCTTGTAATGCAGAATACCTTGTCCCTGATGGAGTTAAGTGTAAGTGTAAAACTGGATACTACACTACTTCTTGGGACGCATGTGTACCATGTGAAAGACATATGCCTGGGTGCTTGGAGTGTGACAAGAAAGACGGATGCACTAAATGTGACAATGGATGGAAACTCAACACTACTACTGGAAGGTGTGATGGCGCAGAGATGTTCCTGATGCTCCTTGCGATGATCGTCTTGGCTTTGTTCTAAGCATTTTATGTTCCACTTGATGGTTATTTTTTAGTATAAAATTACTATAATTAAATTATAATTATATATAATATATTTAATTATATTAAACTAAATATATAGCTATTATTTAACTACAAAATTATAATAACTAAAATATTAATTAAATAATCCAGAGGTTTCCAAAATAATTATTGCCGAAAATATGGTATTATAACGTACGAATTTATAAGAGAAAATGAACATTTTGGTTATGAAATGGTGACGTGGGTAATTAGCATTGTGATTTTGGAAACCTCTGAAATAATCAATTCAACTAATAAAAAACCAATAATTAAATTATACAATTACTATATAATAAACTATAAATTTATTATAATTTAACTAATAATTAAACTAATACGAATATTTTGATTCAATTGAGTGTTGTGAACAAGGATGATGTTGTGTAGGGGAGGTGCAAGCCCAAATCTTTCTGCATTTGAAGAGGTATAAATCTTCCTCCTATATAATGTTTTCCTTTAAAATCCCTTACGCCGAGTTTTGGATAAGAAAGGGAGACAAGTACTTTTGGAGCGAGTATTCCTTCGCCTGTATATCCTTTCTCGACGTCCCAACCTGAAGGGATATCTACTGAGACAACGGGTATACTTTCATTATTTATCTTGTCTATAACTTCTTTAAAAATACCACGAATAGGAGCTTTAAAGCTAAACCCAAAAATTGCATCTAAGATGACACTTACTTCAGGATGCCACGTAAATTCAGTTTCAACTAAAATCGAGTTTTGTTCCAATTGTTTTACTAACAAACACAAATGTTCGTCTTTTGAATGTTTGGGGTAGTATACTATAACATTATACCCAAACTGTTGTAAGTATCTTGCAGCGACCAGACCATCACCTCCATTGTTTCCTGAACCACAAACTACAAAAACAGTCGGATAGTGTTCAACGGGATATTCAACACTCAAGACTTGCGCACAAGAAAGACCGGCAACTTCCATTAACTGACTCAATGAGTAACAGTACTTTCCCATTAAGTCTTTGTCAAGTTGAATAGCCTGGTTTTGTGTTAAATAGTCACACATGAATTTTTTTAAGTTCTAAATCTTGTCTATATGTATAGTTAAATTATAGTTAAATTATAGTAATTTTAAAATTATTTTATAATTAAATAATTATTTATAATAGAACAAAATGACAACAGGTATTAAATAGTAAACAATAATATAAATAATCAGCGAAGGACAGCTTCCGTTTTTGGATGATGTGGTTCGAACTTTCTTCTACAAATCACTTCTTTGTGATGATAGGTGGTGTTGATTTACCTTTGTCTTCTTTTCCGAATTTCATAGATAAATGTCTTGAGTGTTTTTGAGTATGAGGTTGTAGAGTTGGTGAAGACAAATGTGGTGCCCAGTTTTTAGGGACTGAAGTTGACCTTCGAGCTGCTGACGTATCTAGTATTTGTTCTATATTTCCTGTTTCAATTAATTTGCAGACCACCGCCCAGAACTCGTTTTGTTCCTCGACATTTTCAGTGATGAATTGTACGTCTGTTTTCGGCATTAATTTAATATCATCCAAAGTATTATATCCCATACTAATGACTTGAGTGACTAAATGGTCCAACTTCTTAGGTTTTAACCAATTAGTTAAGACTTCTTTAGGATCGACATATCCGGATGGCTTCTTAGCGATTTTCTTTTCGACTTCATTTGATTCGAATTGAGCGACAGTTGGGAAGACTTTCTTCATGAGATGGTTGATGCAATTGATCAACTCGTCGGTGTTACTTGTCTCAAAATCCTTTGTCCCGTCGACCTCGAAAAAGCCGATTTGTGAACTTAACGAATGAAACAACTTCTTGATGGAGGAATTCTTCTCAACGTTATTGCCAACAACAACTACAGACGGCGTGTCGATCTTTTTAATCTTCCCTTCTGTTATAAACTCTTTCCCAGCAAACGCTAAGTCGATTAATGGCTCAACTAATATTAACCCAGCAGCTCCACTCTTCTTTTTACTCACTTTTTGCTTGTAAGCAATATACAATGAAACACCACACCCAGCCCCTTTCCCATAGATCACTATGTCTTCCGGCGGAATCTTAAGTGTTTCTGTTAAGTGTTTCCACACTATCTTGATATCCTTTTGTGTAGACGATGTACTGTATTGCGGGTTCTCTTCACAAAACCCAGGGTACTCCCAACAGATCACTCGCACTTTTAAAACAGCTGATAAGAGTCCAAGCCAGTCTCTGATACTCACCATCGACTCCAAGTAGTCGTGCGAGTACAGAAGAGTTATTTGATGTTGACTAGTTGTTAATAATATTTTTTACTATAAATATACTATATATATAATAGAAATAGTTATTAATTTAATATTAAAGAGATATAGTATATAATATATAATATAATATACTAATATACAAACCAATTGGTAGGTTTGAAACACATCACGGGGATGGTTGTTCCTTCGATGACATAAGTGTTGGGGTGGGTGAGAACAGTGATGTCTTGGAACAAACGAGACCCTTCCTGTAAAGACATTCGACTCGACCGTTTACGCGAAATCATCACTTGTGATATGAAGATCTTTCTCTCTCTTTTTCTCTCATTTGAATCCCGATATGTTCGAGTTTCATTGGCTCTTTTTATGTTCTCAAATGGGACTTGTTATTTATAGAACTCCAAGTAATTTTCGTCGTTCGGCTATTTAGTATTTTGGTAGTTTGTAAGAAGTTTTATAGCTTTTTTTGTATGAGTGGTATCTCGTGTGGTATTACTGGAGTAATTATTACTCTCAATTATCCAGTGCTTCTGAACTATAAAGTATCTATTATTTATCTATTTTTGTTACAACTAGATTGCTTTAGTTTTCTTTTTATTATTTTTATCGTCATCCATTAGTTTGGTTTTTTATATTATAATTATATTTAACGAAATGCCATTTCAGAGTGAAGGTGTATTCTATTGTATCAAAACGAAAAATAAAATAATACACAATACTATAAAAACTATATTATAATAGTACTTAGTCTAAACCCTTTATTGACTGAACAATTATTAATCAATAAAACCATATTTTATTTAAAATTTATAGTTATTACAACAGTTCAACCAAAATTCTCAAAGATGAGTCAGAATAAAAGAATTGATGGACGAGAAAGTGGTCTTCACACTCTCAACAGCTCACGTGGTGTAGTTTCAGTGTTGTTTTATTTTTTGAGTGTTTCTAAAAATTTGATGTATTCTGGATCGTCTTGTAAAGTGTTGTTTAAAGTGTCTTCCTTGTCTTGTGTTGATATTCGCTGATTCACACAGAACTCAATTGATATTTTCTTCTCTTGTCCTCCTGGTAAGAAACACACGTGGTTTGAATACTTCGAATTAAATTTGTTGAGTGCGTCGTCCGAAGTGAAGTGGACGATAGCTGAGCAAAACAAATTATCTCTATTCGTTTAGTATTTTTTACTATTAAATTTTAATGTTTAATAACGTTGTTTGTAAATCGATTTATTTGTGAGGAATGAGTGAATAACGAACTGTGGCGCTATAAAGTCGTAGTAATCAATTTGGTCCTGAAAACCTTCGACCATGTCATCAGCAATTTCTTTACCGTTACTCGTTGGAATGTTTTTGATTATGATCTTTCGTTTGTTGGATGTTGCCTCGGCCATTAATAGTTTTTAAGTTCTTTATAAAAACTACAAATTAAATATTTAAAAATTTCAAAGTTCATCGTGTTTTATCGCATCATCATTTTGTTTTCAAATATTAAGGGTTTTAACATTTCATTGCGATAAAAACAATTTTGAAAAGTCAATAATATAAAGAAAATTACAGCCAAATGATATATTTACAATAAAAAACTCATGTTTTAACATAAATGTATTTATGCTATCTGTACTTTAACCTCACGAAGTGAAAACTGGATAAATAATATCCTTGTTTTTTTACTTAAAATAATTCACTTTTTTTATTTAGTATTTAAATTTAAAAAAATTTAATTAAGAAGAGTGTGTCACAAACCAATTTGAATAATGAAGAATTGATAAATTCCAAAAAAAATCTCGTAACAGCAAGTGTTGACCATTTTAAACATATGGTAAGTGTGGAAACATGGCTCTGTAACGACTATTAAGTTACGCTAAAACTAATTGATTTTGTGTTTTGAATTTGTTTTTTATTATTTTAAAAATAAAATATGATCTAGATAAAACATTTACAGTTTTCACCTCCCACAAAAAAGTTGATTCAGTTGACTTGCTAAGGTTATTCTACAATTCCTCAACAATATAAAAAACAACAGCGTAAATTAAATGGTTAAAATATGCCCTCAATATTAGGGCAAATTAGGTAAAATGCCAAATTTTGGTATTATTAAAATATAGAATAAATTGTTAATAAAATAGTATTGAATTTGTTTGTATCAAATTATTAAATTGTACCATAAAATGTAGTAAAACAACGAAACACAATAGTACAAGACAATAAATCAATAATATGAAAATACAATTTTGAAATTTGTGAAGTTTTAGAAGGTAAATTTAAGAGACGCCGGTTTTGGGCTTTGACACCTATCGACCTGTGGAGCTGGTGATTCCATTTCTTCTGGGATTGGGGTGTTGTTTTTGTCGAGTTGCACGAGTTGGTGTAGAGGTGGTGTGTGTAAAATGATTGAGTGAATCTCATCATCTACAAATTCGTCTCTTTCATCAAAGAAGTCTTCTTCGACTCTTGTTGATAATGATCTTTCTGGTCCATCATCATTTAATACATAAAGTGGTACAACTGAATATGAGTGGGTATGATGTGACATCTATGGTTTGTGAATATACAGACGTATTCTTAAAGAACCCTTTTGTAAAGTATTAGAAAATTAAAAAATGGTTAAAATAAGTTAAATGATTCATCGAAAGTCTTCGAGGCTTTTTTGACAATACAGTTTTCGAATAATTACAATTAGCTATATTTTTTAATTTAAATATTAGTAGATTTACTAGTGACATGTATTCGCAATACCTTTTATGTCTAAATATGTTACGATCCGAATCTTCCTCTTCCATTAGTTTCGTTGTTTTTTATACATTCTTCTTTCCGCAATTTGACGGGTTCTTGAAATAGTTTTCGGTTCAAACTTTGTTGTAGTGTCTTGAAGAAAATTTAACTCTCCTAATAGTAAAAAAATTATTATAATATTTTGGATTTAATATTATTATTAGAAAACATTAATATATTTGTTATTGTATTATAATTTTTTTTTTGATAATAATATGGTAATAGAATAATTAAATTGCCCACATTTGTTTTCAATGCAAAATTTTCGTCAAAGTAATTATTGTGGCTTTTACACATTTCAAAAAAATCTTTCACAAATTATTTCTTTGGTTTGTTTCCCGATATTTGGTATTTCTTTTAGTAAATTTGACATAATATGTCCAAATAATTATTTCCGTGTTAATAAAAAATTTTAATTATTTTTGTATCAACTTTTTTTTATGTTTTTATGTTTATATTTTTTATTTAAATCTACAATTATAAATAATTATTTTCAAATAAATTAAATAAGTGGTTGTTTAAAATAAAAAATTATATTTTACTAATAAAATATAATAATGCTAATGCGTCTTGGAAATGTTGATTTGAATTTTGACTAAAATGAGCCATAAAAATATTTAAATCATTGGGTGTTGTTGGAAAAACAAAATAAATAACATTTTTTTACAAACTTGAATGGTACCCTTGTAATTGAATATTATTTCCAAAAATCATGTAAAACAAAAAACAATAAAAACAATTCTTTTACTTTTTAATAGCATTTTTCAATAATAATTTTTTTTATAACAATCACTCGTTCGAAACCTTTCATTTACCATTAAAAAACTATATTATTGGTTTTATTAATGATAATAATTTGTTACAAAACAATAAAGAAACTGAATTTAATTCCAAAATCATAATAAAACTAATAAGTATCCACGTTTTAATTTTATCTATTAATTTATTTAACAATTGTTCTCAAGTGTAATTTTGTCTGAAACAAAGTATCGAAAAAACCACCCAAATTGACTTTATTAAAACTGTTTATAAAAGCCTTTAAACACCATAAAAAACGGGAAAACATTGAAAAAATAATACACTTAATTTGTCAATTAGAGACTCTTTACTTTATTAAATATTATTATTGTTAACTAAAAACGCTTTTTTGACTAGAATCAAAAAATAGTAAAATAAACTATTTTCAGTCAAAATTTCTTAATAATTTAATTACTAATTTCAAAATGTTTATAAAATATTTCTTCAAACCAATTTAACAATACAAGAAACTATAAAACATCATAAGGAAATGTGGACAGGATTGCTTGTCATATTTATTGTTACACAAACAAAAGGTCAAACATTATTAACTCCAGAGACCTATATAAAAGTATCACAGAAATACAATCAAACACTCTCATTTGTGATTGACCCATCACTTTTACTTCCAAACTCAAAATACGAAATTAAGACGCACTCGTTAGGCTCCGAACCAAACCTTTTTGGAGTCTCACTCTATCAAGAAAAGCATTACACGACAAATCAAACATTCTTGGACGAGTCTAACATCCACTTCTCTACAAACGAAAATGGCTGCGTTAAAGGAGTTGACATGGACCACTGCGAAAAATTCAATTGCTTTGTCGCGCTCCTTTATATGGGTAGAACCGCTCAGGCAGATGTCTTGAATAAACCTATCTCGTACTTCATCTCACTTAAAAGAGGAAAATTGGGTCTTCCTGGAGACGTCCCGGCACTCATTGTGTTGGGAATCTTCTGCCTTTTGATTGCAGGGGCTCTGACACTTCTAATAAAACGATTCTTCGAAGGAAAAGACTCCACAAAAACAGAGTGAGATGTCTTTCATTCCGCCAACTCGATCTTTTTTACTCACGACTCAGAAAAATTCAAATTTCAAATTTTCGTTTTTTGTTCACCCGGTTTTCTTTACAAATCATTTACTATATGTATATAATAATGTTATTATAAAAATAGTTCACAATCACCATTCCAATTTAGAAAAACAGTTGGTTTTACCAAAAGTGCGATTGAACGAAAAAAAAGAGAGAAAATGAGAGGAGTAGATGATGAGAAGAAACATTTTTGAGATTGTCATTTGTGGAATAAAGCAAAAAATAAAGAAAGAAATAAACCGAAATTGAAAAGCAAGAAGAGTTAGCCAAGTGAACTGCAAAAGTAATGAGTTCGTTCCCCGACGAGATCAAAGAGTGTGTCAATTGGGTGAATGGACAACTTCCCGATGAAGAACCCATAACGGACGTTTTAACTGGGCTTTCCGATGGGACGAAATTGATACGAATAGTTGCGAAGTTGAGTGGGAAAAAAGCACTCAGATATTCATTAACAGCAAACACCCCTTTTCAAAAGCAACAGAACATGGCGGTGTTATTAAAGATGACTGAGATGGCATATGGAACGAATGTGTCCTATGACGCCGGGGACTTAGCAAGAGGGAATGAAGGGCAATTACTTTCACTTGCGTTTTATATTGGACAAAAGAGTGGGACGCGTGTTCCGAAGAGGAAAACCCTGACCAAAGCGACATCAATTGGCCTCAAAAATGTGCAACCGAACGCCAACGAGCAAGTGAGTAAAAATTCACCACTGCGACAAACATCAGACGTTGCGTTGAATCACACGGAAAAGACACAAAACAAAAACAACACAAATGGAGATGAAACTGACAAAATGGAAAGGTCCCCACGATCACCAAGAAAAGTGGTGATCGACGTGGTACCCGCTTTACCAGAGAAAAGGTACCATAACATTAGTTCAAGTAAAACTGTAGTACAAACACGAGACATAAAAGAGACTACAGACTCAACGGACGATGGCTTGGATATCCCAGTCGATGTCATTGAAACCACTTTGACTTCACAGGGCGTCAAAGAGAAGTCTCAAACTGATTTGGAGGAAGAAAGTCCAATCAAAAGCGACATGACGGAAAGCACCGAAAATAATGAGGAGGGAAGTGCACATTATTCACTCTATGATGAGATAGAAGTATTGGGGAAATATGACACCTTTATGGAGACGAATAAGTGCACGACACCGACAGTGTCTGAATCGTCGTACGTCCAACCAATTGTCGACACGAGTTCGATGTGTACTGTAAGTACTGGTGTTGTTGAAAGTGAAGCTTTACATCAAGAGACACCACCGTCACAATTGGAAGATGTCCCACCACCGACCCCGACACTCCCACAACGCCCAAAAAGGATGTTGGAATCCTCGATGAATAAATTGTGTCAATCATCACCGAGTGCTGGATGTAAATCGAGCAGAGAAGCAAGTTTGAGTAGCGGGACTTCTCGAATGAGTTTTATGAGTGAATCTGGCTCCGGGGCGAAACGCGACAAAATTGGGAAATCGCCGAGAGACACAATCTCACAAATGCCAGAGATGTCATATGACCAAAAGACGTATCTAGAGGAGGATGTCGATATAATAAATAAGTACTGCAGGGGGTATCTTGGGAGACTGAAGGCAAAGCCAACGATGAAGATGTTGAGCCAACGGCGGAATGTTGTCCTTGAAATATTGAATACCGAAAGGATTTATGTTAGTCGACTGAAACAGTTTTTGGAATTTTATTTGGCAAAAGCATTACAAATCTTCCCTGGCGATTCGATATTGAAGAAATGCGAAGAAAACCTACGCGTCATTGTGGGGTACAACGGCAATTTATTAAAAGAGTTGGAACAGCTCCAGACGGAAGGGAAAATCTATGGGGAGGGCATAGGAAAGTCGTTTGAGAAGTTATCACACTTCTTAAAGACATACTGCAGCTATATCAACAGCACTGACGCGATTAATGAACACGAAGAGAAGCTCAGAAGGACGAAGAAGGAGTTTGAAAGTCAAATGAAGCAGACGCAATTGGAGAACAAGTTGGAGACGTTCAACTCGTATGTCATATTGCCCGTTCAGCGTATTCCAAGGTATCGACTGTTACTCACCGAGTTATTAAAAACGATGACTCCACAACACGGAGAGTATATTGCACTGGACAAGTCATTACAACAAATTATCGAAGTTGGGAGCGCGGTGAATGAAACCAAGAGGACGATGGAACAGAAGAACATCGTCTCGCTTGTGTTTTCGAAGTTCAAGTATCCCACGGGGATGCAACAGATCCAACCAGATGCGGCATGCAGTTTTGTGCGGATTGGGAATATGGAGTTACTCGATCGGGAGAAAGGGAAGCTGAAGAGCGTCACTTTATTGTTATTTAGTAACAACGTTGTAATCACAAAAGTGCCAACGACAGGAACTTTACATAAAGGGAAATTGAAAGCAGACTCGATCGAGACGATTGTGGAGAGTAAGAAGTCGCTTACTGTTGAGTATGTGATACCCATTGGTTCATTTTGCGTGTTAGACAGTGCCGACTTTATGCTGGGGTCTGGGGGGTTAAGCGAGCGAGCGCCAAGTTTCAAAATTGTCACCAAAGACTTGTTAACGTTCCAATTTTGTACGCTTACGGAGAGCGAAAAGAACTCGTGGCTTGTTGATTTGGATTCCCAAGTTGCGTTGGTACAAGAAAGAGCCTTAATAGGGATCAGAGAGTCGAATAAGAATATCATCGAATCGTTGTATGATGCGTACAGGTCACAATGGTCAGAAAACACGATTAAAATGCCGTGGTGGCACTCGGATTTGATGGGGGAGGAGTGCATGATCTTTGCGAATGGATATGTAGCGACGTTTGGGAACGCGCACGACGCTTTTGCGAGACAGAACATCAGAAACTACTTTGTGACAAAATACACGTCGGTTGCGTTTAGTGGACAGAAGACGATTACGCTTGTCAATTTTGCGAGGAAAGAAAAGCCACGTGTTGTATTAGAACTGAACACAACGGCAGAAGCGTTGATGTGGGTATTTTTGTTGCGACAGAGCTTTATCGGGTTTTATGATCCAAATGAAATCAATATGGCCCTCTTCTCGTGCGCAGAGAATGACTTGCCAGCACTTCCACCCGAGGAAGTTGTCTTTGCAATAACAGAAAATGCAAAGAACAGAACGTGTGCGGATTGTGGGGACACCGCTGTGAAGTACGTCGATATGACTTTTGGGTGTTTCGTATGTAGTGACTGTGGGAGAATACATCGATACTTTACGAACAAACCACAAGTCTGTGCGCCTAAAATACTTGGAGACAAAAGTCTGGTGGACTTAAGACTGTTAATACAGAAGGGAAATGACTTTTTGAACGAAGAGTTGGTGGTCGGACAAGGCCTCCCAACGAACCCGGCAGAGTATGACGGGGATTTGAACCAGTATTTGTGGAAAAAGTATAAACAAGAGGGGGAAGCGCCAAAGTCCATCATTCGAGAAGTTGGGAAGAAAACAGGGACACTAAGGAGAGACGAGGTGAATAAAATCAGAGCGAAAAGAGGAATGGAAAGAAGAAGCACTTTTTCTGTTATTGAAGAAGATAAGAAAAAAAAGTAGAATTTCATACATTTGATTCTTTTGTGTTTTTGATGATGTTTTTCGGTTCTATTTTTAAATATGATTTGGTATTTTAAGAGGGATTGAATTATCTTTCGACAATAACAAATATGGTAAACAAATGGTATATTTATGGTATTTTTTTAATTAACAATGCTACAAAAATAATGAATGAATTATTCAAAACTGAAATAACTGTGATAATAATTTTAATATAAATATTAATAATTTGTAGTAAGGAAAGACTGTTTTTTTGACTTAATCAAAAAAAGAAATCACAGGAGTTTTCAAGATTTGTGAAGGGAACAGAAGAAATACGAAGGTTGAAATCTTGGGAAATTATAAAATTTTGAGTTTAAAAG